AAAGAGAATTGATGCCTTTGAGCTGTGGTGCTGGAGAAGAGCATTGAATATACCATGGACTGCTAGGAGAACAAACAGGTTCATCCTGGAGAGGGTGAAACTGGGTTGCTCCTTGGAGGCAAAGATTAAGAAGTTTTGTCTCACATGCTTTGGGCATGTTGCAAGAAGGAATCAGTCCTTGGAGAGGGACATCATGTTTGGGAGGACAGAGGGAAAGCGCAAGAGAAGAAGACCCTCAATGACATGGATAGACTGGGGTAATGGGAGTGGGTGTGTCTGAGACAATAAGGTTGCCACAGGATAGAGCAGGGTTTAGGGTTCTTGTACATAGGGTTTCAAGCAACTCGATGGCATATAACAACAACAATCCTCCTTATTCACTCTCCAGCTCTCAGATGCATAGCAAGTGATTGGAAAGATCATAAAGATCATGGCTTGAATCAGTGAACCTTAATCCTCAAACAGACATAATTACTTCTCAATAATTTGGAGAGATAAGTGCAGACTTTCAGTGCAATGTGTCTCCTTATTTCCTGACTACTGATACCAAGAGTGCTAATAGTGGATCCAAATCTGTCATTATTTTATATTCCTTAATATTGTTTCTAATCTTTAAGCACCACATCTTTCACATCATGTTGTTGTTGTTGTTGTTGTTGATTGCCTTCAAGTAGAGCATGACTCATAGCGACCTTATGAACGAAAGGCCTAAAGCCCCTATAAAACTATCGAAATTTATCAAAGTTCATAGAGTTTCCAGAGGCATATTATTTAGGAAGTGGATGCCACTTCTTCTTCCAACCTGTCATAGTATGTTATTGGTTTTATGTGCCATTGAGTCTCCTGCGATGTATAGCAACCCTACGTACAGCAGTTCTGAACCCTTCCCTGTCCTTAGCCAGTCTCACCAACTCCAACACACCAACCCTCATCGTCCCAGTTATTATATCAGTCCATCTCATGCAGGGTCTCCCTTTCCTGTGCTGTTCATCCACCCTTCCGAGCATGATGTCCTTCTCCAAAGACCAATCTTTCCTGGCCATGTGCCCAAAGTAAGTGAAGTGGAGCTTTAAAATCCTAGCCTCCAAGAAAAGACTTGTTTTCACCCCCTCCAAGACAGACCTATTTCTTTTCTTGGTAGTCCAAGGTATGTTCAAGACCCTTCCCCAGCACTATAACTAGAAGGCATCTATTCTTCTTCTGTCATCCTTAGTCATTGTCCAACTCTCTGAAGCATAACACATAATTAAGAAGACCATGGCCTGGATTAGGTGCACTTTTGTATCTAGACTGAAATCATTGCTCTTCAGCACTGTGGAGAGGTCTATGATGCCAGATTTTCCCAATGCAATTTGTCTTTTGATTTCCTCACTGCTGGTGTTAAGAGTATTGATTGTGGATCTGAGCAAGCTGTAGTTTTCCTCAATCTCTTTGTAATTCCCCTTTGCAAGGTATGGATCTAATTATGATTTCTTAGCAAATTATTTTGTAATATCTATTGTGTTTGCAAAAGAATTCTTTTTAAAAAATTAATTTTAATGAATGTTTACAGAGATTTTGGATTTCCATGCATTCATTGTTGCATTTTTCTCCCTGCCCACCCCTCCCCCCAGTTCGCTCTGCTCATTGAAAAGTAAAAGAAAAATTATCTCATTGGCATAGAATCCCCACCCACCCCCCACCCCGTGTACATTCCATTATGCAACCTTAATTCTGGATTCTTGTCAGAGCCATAATAGTCAATCATATATCGCTTTCAAACAGTTTTCTCCCTCATCTGTTTCAATGCAGTATACATAATTTATCCAATTGCAAAAGAATTCTTTAAGAAGCATCTAATTTATGAAATCTGTACTTTAATTGTCTCACTTTATATGCCACCTCCTCTGTAAATTTTCAGCATAAACAATATTTAAATACATTTCTTTCCCTGAAATGTTCTTTAGTTTTTATTACCTCATTGTCTTTGAGAATATTTTTCATTAATATTTTTCTTCACTTAATGTTCATTATAAAATCTTTTAAATCTTAACAAAGTTATTTTTGGATAATGAATGCTTTAATATATTTTTAATAAATAGTTAAATGCTGAATAAGACCTGAGAAGAATTTTAGATTGGATTTCTTCTGGGAATGGTTTTGGGAGAAAATTTTTTGACCCTTATGTTACAACCACATTTAAATATCTACTAATTCTTTTTGGTCAATTATGAAACCGTGTTAGGTACTAGAATGCACATAATATCCTATTCCCTGATATAGAGCAAAATATGAGTTTTCACTTCTACTAAGAATAATGTCTTAAATTTTATTCATATTTCTATAAAGTATTACTGTGTTAAACATTAATGTGTCTATTTTATTACTATTTGAAATCTCAGTGAAAATACATACTTTGATTCAATTGCAAAGAAAAATATTTTTATTGGATTGTTGTTGCTGTTGTTGTTATTGTGTACCATAGAGTTGGAACTGACCCATCATTGCCCCTCTGGTGGGTTTGCAGAGGGAGTTAATCACAGGGGAGGAGATTGCCCATCCATCTCCCATGGAGCAGCTAATGATGATGATATTGATCAGCAATTTTAACGGGGGGGAAAGACCACAACTAAAGCTCTAAAAGTATGAAAAATATTACGCTGATCTTAATCGCAGAATTCTTATTATACACTCTAGCCATTAAAAAAAGAACCCATGGAAATGAAAGCTGCTGTTTAGGAGAGTTAATACAGGCTCAGTTTCTTCCTGTGTCTCTTTAGTTATGCCAGGTTGAGAGAGATAAGATGATTCACTCAAGCAAAAGTCAGCCTGTTGAGTTTATTACTAATATTGGTTTGTTGGGGATTTTTTTTTAGAATTCATCCTAATTTGTAAGTGAATTATCATTGAGTTAGGAAAACTTATTCAATACCAATATTGAACAACCTTAGGCCTTATTCATTTGATATCTGCTTAAGTAGAGCAGAACATAACATGTTGAAAAACAATGCAATTTGAAGTATGCATACTATGAATTTGGGAGGAAAGTTTTGGAGGAAGATGTATAGTCACCAGAATGTGTCAAGATACTTCTTCCATTGTCACTAATCAGAGACAACTTTTCACTTACTTTAGTTAGAAATGATTTATCAGAGATTAGGCAGATTTTAAATTTTGATAGTAATCTCTCCAGTGGTAATAGAAGTGATGAATATAGATTTTTTTTCACTTAATCCCGGTTCTTCACCATCTACATTTTTACCATATTTTACAGGTGTAGCCATTTTTCTATTTATTTTTACTTAAATGATTTACTTGTTTTGTTTTCTTTTGTCCATTGATATTATGTTTACTTTTTAAAATTACACCTTTTATATTTATTTCTCTCATTCCAGAGCACAAGGCATATGACTTCCTGAACAGATGGACGGCAAACAAACTTAATGCTGTGGTTGTGGGAGTGGAGTAAGATAATTAGTATCACTATTATTTTTAATTTCATGATTCTTATGACCATGATTTAAAGGTTTGGTTTCCAATTTTAATTATCCTACCCTTAAATCAAGTCATCCTAGGTTCCAAAAAAGACTTAGAGCCTATTAATTTTTGGTGTACACCATAATTTTTTATTAGCACTAAATTATCCACAATTTCTTGAAGGGTTTCAGCTTTTCTTAATAGTACCCCTTTTTCGAGACTATTGAGGGCACCTGGATAAGTAACCTTGGTAATACACAGTAGGGTTAACACTCTAGGAACATAATACTCATATTCTTAAAGGGCCTCCACTGCTTGTCTGTCACTTCAATGTAATATAGTGGCTTTTGTGTTACTGTAATGCTAGAAGCTTACATTTTCAAATGCCAGCAGTGGACAGATTTCATTAGACCTTCCAGCCTAAGACAGGATAAGAAGTAAAATATTGTTGTCTACTCATGAAAAATACAAAGAAAAAAGGAATACTGAAAACCATATGAATAGCAGTGGAACATTTTCTGATATAGCTAATCAGAGATTAGCCCTGTAAGTTGAAAATAACTCAACGTGTGACTGGAAAAGACTACCCACTCAGTATACAGTTGACCTCAATGATAAGGATGAGGTAGCCTTTCATGATCTTTAGTTGTGATATGGTGTGACTCAAAATAAGAATAAAGGATGTGAATATAAATTAAAAATCTAAACATTAGATGTTCATAGTAAGAATCTAGAAAAGTTGGAAGTTATTAAAATAAAACGGAATTTACCAAGATAGAGATCCTTGGCACAAGTGAAACTATATGGACTGTTATAGACCATTTTGAGCTGAACAATCATAATGTATACTGGGAATAACAGTGGAAAAGAAATTGCATTATATTTACTGTAAAAAAGGATATTTTATAATCTATCCTGAAGTACATTGTCAATGGCATAATAATATAATAATATTTGCATATATATTAATATAAATGTAAGAACAACTAGCTAATATTAATAGTATTCAAATATTATTCATCCACTGAATAAAAAATTTTGCTAACTTTTGCATTCTGAAATTGATCAAGCATGCATTCAAGAAATATTGCTTTGTTTTGTAACAACCACAACAACAAAGAAAACAAAGAAGGAAGAGGAGCTGAAAAATAAAGTCTTAATAATGATGGAAATGATGCCACATACAAAGTTATAAAATTCTGCAAAACCAACAACTTATTAATTAAAATACATTTTTCAACAGCATAAATGGTGAATATATGCATGAATTATCAGATAAAGTATATAGAAATAAAAATTAATATATCTATAGGGAAAAATTACAGAGAACTTAATGTTAATCACACAGAGCAAGGCTCTGAGAGCTGAGTAGACCATCCAATCCATTTTTTGAAACTTCAAGGTAGAAACAAAGAAAATGGGAAACAAATCTCTAAGATCCAATTGCATGGCCTTGAATATGTCTCACCTAAAATTAAAGATTATCTTAAGAGTCACTATATGTTTCATCAACAGATGCCACACATGTCATCAGCAGCCCATACACATCATCAGTGGCCATGAATATGTTCCAGTCAATTAACTAGGAACCTGTATTAAAAAGTTGTTCATAGTGTGGTCTGGACTGCTCACCTGCCAGGAGCATTAGACCGAGGTGCTGCTGCCTGGAGGTTCCTAGCCACGCTTCCTGGATGCCGCTCACCCCTCTGCCTGGAGGCCTTTGTCCCTCTGCTGGAAACCCCAACCCACTGCCCAGAGGACCTGTCCCTACAGTCGCACTACCAGGATGCTTCCACCCAATGCCTGGAAACAAAGCCCTGCCTCCTAGAGGACCTGGCTCTGCCACTCGGACACCTCAACTCTGGAGGACAACCTGCTGCTGCTGCCCTCTGAATTGCACCAGAGACAGCAATATCACAAGTAATCTTATTTCTTCTCCCTGCTCAGAGCTTGAGCTGCAGGGCACCTTGAACACACCTAGCTTAGCTGCAGTGGTTGCCTGACAGAGCAGACTGCTAGCTCAAAGGCCATACATATCTCTCTCCAGCTGAAGCAAGTCTTCCCTTGAGTCAAAATCTCAGAGAGAAATACAGACAGAGTAGCTGCCCTGCTCTCCCCTGGATCACTGACACCTAAGGCCTCAGCTATGGAAAAACTCTACCACAGCAATATCATGGAAGAAGCAGACTACCTCATATCCTACACAAATACAAAACAAGATGTCACCTAAAAAAAGTGACAGTACCAATGGACTTTCTGGAGTCAGAAGGTCTGATGGACTTTCTGATACAGAATTCAGAAGAACAATAGCTGAATCTTTTTAATTGTTAAAAGACTAATTTAAATAATTACTCTGTAGGCAAAAACCAAGGAGAACTTTAAAAAACAATTTTTTAAAAAATTAAAAAAAAACCAAGACAATTCTGATAAAATAAATAAGGCATTAGAGGCTCTGGGGTTAAAAAAACAAAACAAAACAAAAACACTAAAATTCAGAATATGATAACCAAACTTTCAGATGCTATCAAAATGGTGGAGAGACATATGAAGAGAGTTGGAGAGATGGAACACAGAACCAGCAAAATTGAAGATAGAATTGTCACCAGATAGAATAAAAAGCAGAATCAAAAAGGAAGGAAAAAGAAGAAAACTTAAGAATATAATGTTGGACACAATGAAGATGAATAGCATGTGCCTAATCAGAATTTCAGAATAAGAAAAAGAAGGTAAAGGCAATGAGAAAGTTGTGGAAGAATTACTAGAAGAAAACATTCCAGGCATAATGAAGAATGAGAGAATATATATTCAAGAAGCTGAGCAAACACCATATAGAACAGACCCCAAAAGAAAAACACCAAAGCATATTATAGTCAAATTTACCAGAATCAAAGATAAGGGGAGAATTCTGAAAGCAGCAAGAGAGAAACAAAGAGTAATCTATAAGGGACAACAAATAAGAATAAGTGTTGATTTCTCAGCAGAAACCATGTGAGCAAGAAGACAGTGAAATGACATATAATGATTGAGTACTCAAAGAATATAATTGTCAATCAAGAATATTGTACACAACAAAATTGTCCATCAAATGTGAAGGAGAGATCAAGATATTCTTAGAAAAGCAGAATCTAAGGGAGTTTGTAAAAAACAAGGCAAGCATTTCAGTAAACACGGAGAGAGGTCCTTCTTACAGAGGTATCATAGAAAGCAGGATGGATCAAAGTGACAAGCAACATCAAAAAGAACTCAACAAAATGATAGCAATAAAACTTAGCTACTCAATAACTACACTGAAAGTGAATGGTTTAAATGTTCCACTAAAGAGAAAAAGAGTAGCAGATTGGGTAAAACAATAACAACAACAAAAACCCCATTAATATGCTGTCTACAAGAGGCACACCTGAAAAGTGAAGATAAGGAAAGAGTAAAAGTAAAAGGATGGGGAAAAAATATACAAAGTAAATGGCAACCAGGAAAAAAAGCAGGAGTAATGATATTAATATCTGATAAAATAGATTTCAGTGCAAAAATCATCACAAAGAACAAGGAAGAACACTACATAATGCTTAAAGGTTCAATAGAGCAAGAGAACATAACAATAATAAATATTGATGCACCAAATGATAGAGCTGCAAAATATACAAAGCAAACATTAACAAAACTGAAAAAGAAAGAGATATTCAATATACAGTAATAGACTTCAATACATCATTCTCAAGAAAAGAAAGAACTACCAGAAAAAAACTCAACAAAGATGTTGAAGAATTAAACCACATAATAAACCAACTTGATCTCACAGATATATACAGGTTAATGCACGCCAAAAAAAGTGCAGTAAACCTTCTTCCCCAGTGCGCATGGAACATTTTCTAGAATAGATTACATTTTCGATCACAAGGGAAGCATTAATAAATAAAAAAACTTAGAAATAATAAAAAATATCTTCCTAGACCACAGTGCTATAAAACTAGAAATTAATAACAAGAAGATAAAGGAAAGGAAAAAAACTATACATTTAGAAGCTTGAATATGAGTGGGTAATGTTGTTGTTGTTGTTGTTGTTATATGCCACCAAGTCGCCTGAGACTCATAGCAACCCTATGTACAACAGTCTTAAATCCTGCTCTATCCTGTGCCAAACATACTGTCTCTTATATACTTACCCACACTACCCTAGTCACTGAATCAATCCATCTCATCGTGGGTCTTCCTTTCCTTCAAGCATAATGTCCCTCTCTAAGGACTGGTCCCACCTTGCAACACGTCCTAAGTATGTCAGACAAAGCTTCAGAATTCTTGCCTCTAACAAACAACCTTTCTTCACCCTCTCCAGGATGAACTAAAGTGTTAACAATCTCAATCTTGTCACCATTTATCATGATACTGCCAATCAGCCCAGTGGTGAGAATCCTTGTTTGTTCAATGTTAAGTTTCAATACATATTGAAGGCTGTAGTTCTTGACCTTCCGCAGCAACCGCTTCAGGTCCTCCTCAGTTTCAGCAAGCAGGGTTGTGCATAACACAGATTGTTGATGAGTCTATCTCCAATCTTGATGCCACATTTCTCCTCATAGAGCCCAGCCTCATAGATAGCTGCTCTCATATAATATCAATTTTAAAAAATATGGAGAAAGGATACATCCCTGGCATACACCCTTCCCAATTTTGGACCATGCAGTGTTTCCTTGCTCTGTTCTGGCAACTGCCTCCTGATCCAAGTATAAGCTTCACATAAGCACAGTCAAATGTTCTGAGATTCCCATTATTCTCAGAGTTAGCTACAGTTTGTTGTGATCCACACAGTCAAACACCTTTGCATAGTCAATGAAACACAGATAGACATTCCTCTGGTACTCTCACCTTTCAGTCAAGATTCATCCAACATTATATATAATATCCCTAGTAATAGAAGGAATAAAAAATAAAATTATCCGCCACAACAACATAAAGGTAAACAGCTCACTTGCAAAATGGGCACAGGATATGAACAG